TCATCCCAGCCTGTATTTCAACCCCGGTTCTCCACTCCATCCTCGCTTGATCGTCGTTGCTCCTTACCCGGTGCCACCTCTACGTCCAGGCTCTCATGTTCCTTGTTTTTCCTCATCGTCCCCTGCATTTTGTCGCTCCAGTCTCTAACCCTGTCTTTCTGTCTGTTTTCCCTCCCAGGTTCACTCACCCTCGTCATCCGTTCAGTCGGCTGGGCTCATCCTCCGGTCCTCACCTCTCGGGCTTCCTCCACGGCACCCTCCCGGCTCCTCCCTGCTCCTCGCCTCACCACCCGTGCCTCGCCCGCTCCTTGGTCCTCCGTGCCCGCGTCCCCTGGCGTCCACCTCTCCTCCCTCACCTCTTCCTTAGCCCCCCCGTGAACCCTCAATAAAACCTCCTTCGCTCTGAGTGCTGCGTTTGGGTCCTTTCTGTCCCGTCTCCTAACAGAACGATCAAGCCATCATGGACCCAGCACGCTCCCCCTCCCCCACCCCTTCCACCGGCACTATACCCCAAGAAGTCCTTCGCGCTGTGGCCTCTCAGGGAGCCATGCTCGGCCGACACGCGGCTCATCTCCAGTCCGTGTCGGGCGCGCTTGGCTTCCTGACTGAAGAGGTGCAGCGCCTCGGTGCGCGCCTCCCTGATCCCCTCCTCACGCACTCCCTGGCCGCTGACTTAAGCCCGCGCCCCCCCGCCGGCGCTCCGTTCCCTCGCGAATCACCAGTCTCCCACCCGGACAAATTCTCTGGTGTTTTAGGCACGTGCGACGGCTTCCTGGTACAGTGCGCCCTGGTGTTTAAGAGCCAGCCAGCAAGTTTCCAGTCCGACGAGGCCAAGGTTTGTTACATCGCTGGGCTGCTCCGCGACCGGGCTCTCTCCTGGTATGCGGCAGTCAGCGACGGCCAGCCTCACGTCCTCTCCTCCTACTCCTCCTTCGTGGAGGAGATGCGGAGAGTTTTCGATCGCCCTGTGCGGGGTAGGGAGGCGCCTAGGCGGCTTCTCTCCCTCCGCCAGAACGATCGCAGTGTGGCGGAGTATTCTGTCGATTTCCGCATTCTGGCGGCCAAGTCGGGCTGGAACAGCGAGGCCCTCCGGTGCGTCTTCCTGGATGGCCTCAGCGATCGTATTAAGGATCTACTGGCCACTAGGGCCGTGCCGGCGGACCTTGATTCTCTGGTCGAGGTGGCCACCGATCTGGATAACTGTTTGCGGGAAAGGGCCAGGGACCGTCTCGCTCGCGGGTCTGCCACCTCCCGCTCTGGCCTCACACCACCCCGGGCCTCTGTTTTGCCGTCCCCCGCGCCACACCCTGCTCCACCGCCAGGCCCCACGGCACTGCCAGCGCCGCCTTTGCCTTCCCCCGACGCTCCTCCCGAGTCCACACAGTTCGGTCGCGCTCGCCTCTCCCCGGAGGAACGTGAACGGCGCCGTCTGGCCGGTGAGTGTATATATTGCGGCAAGCACGGCCACCTCCTGCCTGCCTGCCCCGTGCGGCCAAAAGATTCGGCTCGTCAGTAGTTTTGGGGCTACTGACGAGCCGAAACTCTTCACCCCATCTCCGCTCCCCTCTCGACGCCACAGTCACGTGGGGAGACGTAGTTCTCTCCCTCGGGGCCCTTATAGACTCTGGCGCTGATGAAAATTTCCTAGATATCGGGGTGGCCCACCAGCTTTCCGTTCCCCAGATCCCCCTTGACGCTCCCCTCCGTGCTACAGGTCTCACTGGCCAGCCCCTCACCACCGTCACCCATCGTACCCCGCCGCTTCTACTCATCACCTCTGGAAACCACCATGAGTCCCTCTCCTTTCACCTTATCTCCTCCCCGTCCGCACCCCTAGTCCTCGGTCTCCCCTGGCTTGTTGCTCACAACCCCAACGTCGACTGGTCGCGGGGGAAGATCAGGAATTGGAGCTCCAACTGTCACGCGTCCTGCCTTTTGTCTGCTCGAGCCCCCGGTAATCGTGCTCCGCCTGCCCCGCCGCCCATCCCCTCAGACCTCTCCGGGGTGCCCAAAGAGTACCATGACCTTGCACTGGTTTTTAGTAAGGACCAGGCCCTTTCCTTACCCCCCCACCGCCCCTACGACTGCTCCATAGACCTCCTCCCGGACGCGCCTCTCCCCTCCAGTCACCTGTACAACCTGTCGCGCCCGGAGAGGGAGTCTATGGAGCAGTATATTAAGGATTCCCTTGAAGCCGGCATCGTCCGCCCCTCCTCGTCCCCGTTGGGCGCCGGTTTTTTCTTTGTCGCAAAGAAAGATAACAGTCTCCGCCCTTGCATCGATTACCGGGGGCTCAACGCCATCACCGTCAAAAACAAGTATCCGCTGCCCCTCATGGACTCTGCCTTCGACTCCCTCTCCCGGTCCACCATTTTCACTAAATTAGATCTAAGGAACGCCTACCATCTGGTGCGGATCCGGGAGGGGGACGAGTGGAAAACCGCCTTTAACACCCCCCTCGGCCATTACGAATACCTCGTTATGCCCTTCGGACTCACCAACGCCCCCGCCGTTTTCCAAGCCCTGATCAACGACGTCCTACGCGATTTCCTCCACCGTTTCGTTTTCGTCTACCTCGACGATATCCTGATCTTCTCCCGCGACGCGACCCAGCACACAGAACACGTTCGCCTCGTTCTGCAGCGGCTTCTGGAGAACAGGCTCTTCGTCAAGGCCGAGAAGTGTGAGTTTCACGTCCCCACCATCCAGTTCCTCGGGTTCATAATTGAAAAAGGGCGGCTCCGTGCCGACCCGTCCAAAATCCAGGCAGTCGCCGACTGGCCAACCCCCACCTCCGTTAAACAGCTGCAACGTTTCCTAGGGTTTGCTAACTTTTACCGCCGCTTCATCCGGAATTACAGCACCGTCGCCGCCCCCCTCACTCGCCTCACTTCCTCCTCAGTCCCCTTTACCTGGTCTCCAGAGGCCGCAGCAGCCTTCACCCGACTCAAAACCCTGTTCACCTCCGCCCCTGTCCTCATTAACCCCGACCCCTCCCTCCAGTTCGTTGTCGAGGTGGACGCCTCGGACGTGGGTGTCGGTGCTACCCTCTCCCAGCGCTCCCCGGTGGACAACAAGCTCCACCCCTGTGCCTTCTTCTCACGCCGCCTCACTGCCACTGAGAGGAACTACTGCGTGGGAGACCGGGAGCTCCTGGCCATCAAATTGGCGTTGGAGGAGTGGAGGCACTGGCTGGAGGGGGCGGAACACCCATTCCTGGTATGGACGGATCACAAGAACCTCGCCTACATTCAAACCGCCAAAAGACTAAACTCCCGCCAAGCCCGATGGGCCCTGTTCTTCACCCGGTTCAATTTCACCCTCTCCTACCGGCCCGGATCCCGCAACACCAAACCCGATGCTCTCTCCCGGCTCCACTCCACCGACACCGCCTTAAACCCCCCCGACACCATTCTACCGCGCTCCTGTCTCGTCGCCTCCGTGGTCTGGGAAGTGGAGTCCACCGTACGCCGAGCCCAGTCCACCGATCCCGGGCCTGGCACCGGCCCCCAAAACCGCCTCTACGTCCCGTCAGGTGTGCGCTCCCGGGGTCCTCCAGTGGGCGCACGCCTCCAAGTTCAGCTGCCACCCTGGGATGGCCCGCACCCTCTTTCTGCTCCGCCAACGGTTCTGGTGGCCCTCGATAGAGAGGGACTGTCGAGCCTTTGTGGCGGCTTGTGAGGTGTGCGCCCGCGCCAAACCCTCCCATCAACCGCCCGCCGGTCTGCTTCGCCCCCTCCCGGTCCCCGGCCGTCCCTGGTCCCATATCGCCCTTGACTTTGTCACTGGTCTCCCCAGCTCAAACGGATACACCACCATTCTCACTGTCGTTGACCGTTTTTCTAAGTCTGCCCACTTCATTCCCCTACCCAAACTCCCCTCCTCTCTAGAAACTGCCCGCCTGCTTGTCGACCACGTCTTCCGCCTCCATGGAATCCCTCTGGACATCGTCTCGGACCGGGGCCCCCAGTTCACATCCCAGGTCTGGAAATCCTTCTGCCGTGCCTTTGGTTCCACTGCCAGTCTCTCTTCGGACTATCACCCCCAAACCAACGGACAGACCGAGCGGGCCAATCAGGACCTGGGGGCGGCACTCAGATGTGTGGCGTACCGCAGCCCCACCTCCTGGAGTTCCTACATCCCCTGGATTGAGTACGCTCACAACTCCCAGGTCAGCGCTGCCACTGGTATGTCCCCCTTCATGTGTGCCTTGGGTTACCAGCCCCCCTTTTCCCGTCCCTGGAGGAGGAGGTGGCCGTCCCCTCTGTGCAGGCCCACCTCAGGCGTTGCCGCCGGATCTGGAGGGAGGCCAGGGCCGCCCTTCTCCGCACCGCGGCCCGCAACCGCCAACTGGCAGACCGCCACCGGGCCCCTGCACCCACCTACCGGCCTGGGCAGCGAGTCTGGCTCTCCTCCAGGGACCTTCCCCTGCAGGTCCCTTCCAAGAAGCTCGGCCCCCGATTCATCGGCCCCTACCCCATTGAGGCCATCGTTAACCCCTCTGCAGTACGCCTAGCCCTCCCGTCCCACCTGAAAGTCCACCCCGTTTTCCACGTCTCAAGAATCAAGCCTGTCGCCACCAGCTCCCTCTCCGTACCAGTGGCAGCGCCTCCCCCTCCACGGATGATTGATGGTCACCCCGCCTACACGGTGCGCCGGCTCCTGGACGTGCGGCGTAGAGGTCGGGGATACCGCTACCTAGTGACTGGGCCGGTTACGGCCCAGAGGAGCGCTCCTGGGTTCCCTCCAGCCAGATCTTGGACAAGTCCCTCCTGACTGACTTCTACAGGCTCATCCGACAAGCCGGGTGGGCCGCCTGGGGGCGTCCGTTGAGGGGGGGGCCCTGTTGTGGGGACAGCCCAGCTGACGGTGAGTGTCCTGGTTTTACCTTTTTTTTCCTCACTTTATTTCACCCATTGTTTTGCTCTGCCTGCCTCCCTGTGTTCTCCTCTTCTCTCCCTCGGCTCCTGAGCCCAGCCAACTACCTACACCTGCACCTCATCAGCCACCTCGTCAGCCTGCCACACCTGCCAGTAATCAACCTCATCCCAGCCTGTATTTCAACCCCGGTTCTCCACTCCATCCTCGCTTGATCGTCGTTGCTCCTTACCCGGTGCCACCTCTACGTCCAGGCTCTCATGTTCCTTGTTTTTCCTCATCGTCCCTGCATTTTGTCGCTCCAGTCTCTAACCCTGTCTTTCTGTCTGTTTTCCCTCCCAGGTTCACTCACCCTCGTCATCCGTTCAGTCGGCTGGGCTCATCCTCCGGTCCTCACCTCTCGGGCTTCCTCCACGGCACCCTCCCGGCTCCTCCCTGCTCCTCGCCTCACCACCCGTGCCTCGCCCGCTCCTTGGTCCTCCGTGCCCGCGTCCCCTGGCGTCCACCTCTCCTCCCTCACCTCTTCCTTAGCCCCCCCGTGAACCCTCAATAAAACCTCCTTCGCTCTGAGTGCTGCGTTTGGGTCCTTTCTGTCCCGTCTCCTAACAACTCAAACTCTGTTTGAAGGCCAGTGAATAAAGATAGGTCTTTAGCAAGGATTTGAAAGTGTCAGGAGTTTGGACATTTCTTATTTGAACAGGTAAAGTGTTCCAAAGATTAGGAGCAGCTACTCAGAAGGCTCGGTCACCTTTAGTTTTTAACCTGGATCTGGGGACATCAGGGAGCATCTGATTGGATGACCTCAGTGCTTTGACCGGAGTGTGTACAAAGTTCTGATAAATAAGAAGGTGCCAACCCATTTAAAAATTTTAAAAACAAGCAAAAAAATAAAATCTTAAATCAATCCTAAAGCTGACAGGAAGCCAGTGGAGCGAGGCTAAAATGGGGGTAATGTGCTCACGCTTTTTAGTTCCTGTTAGAAGTCGAGCTGCTGCATTCTGGACTAACTGTAACTGATGGAGAGACGACTGATCCACTCCAACATACAAAGAGTTACAGTAGTCGAGACGAGACGTTATAAATGCATGTATTACTCTTTGAAGGTCTTTGCGTGGTAGGTAGGGCTTGGCAGTCTCAGATGAAAGAAACTAGCTTTTACTACAGAACTAAGCTGTTTTTCAAACTTAAAAGCACTGTCAAAGATCACACCTAGATTCTTGGTAAATGGACGACTATATGTTCCTAAAGTACCAAGAACATCTATACAAGCACTTCATGGCACCACAGTTGTGCCATGAACTGGAGGTCACTAGTGCTCAACAGTTTGCCACCAATTCCTTTTGCATACTCTCACCACTTTAAACATTCTTTAAATACATCAAGAGTCGGATCTGTAGGCAGCTAACCTCAATTCCTTTACAGCCAGCAATCTAAATGGCAAAACAGGGTATTTGTAAAACCACAACACAACACAGAAGAAGGTAGTTGTATTTCAGCTAGCTATTACTTGACATGAACACAGCATCCGTCTTCTCTCACTTTCCCCTTCTGTTCTACACACACACACACACACACACGCACAATGAATAAATACTGAAATATTTTAAATTATAATAGAATAAAACAATGAAATAGGCGTTAGATTTGAAAAAAGTATATAAATGCATGTATACTATACATATATATAATATGTGCAATATCAGCATAATATTTAAGTTATAGTGCAAAATGTAGTAGTGGTAGAATGAGACTATTGGAAAGGTGATGGTATAGTAATTTTGCTTAAGAAGACCAATGTAACGGAATCGTTCACAGATGAAGGGAAATGTATGTGCAATCTAGAACGTGTGTAGCATGTAGAGTTGAGGTTTGTGAGAAGAGTCATTTATTTACAGTGGTGTGCAGAGGATATTGTGGAGTTGAGGAGTCACTCAGCCTGAGGAAAGAATCTTCTCTGAGGTCTGGTGGGGAAACAGCAGATACTTGTGTATCAGTTGCCAGACGGCAGCAGGGTGTACAGGCTGTGGCTGGGTGGTACTGTCTTTTTGTATCCTTTGGGCTCTGCACAGGCCCCTCATGTTTCTATTTCTCCTCTGTGCTGCTGTGGCTCAGGAGGAAGAGCGTGTCGTCCACTAATTAGAAGGTTGGTGGTTTGTTTCACTATCCCCCATGGGGACATTTTATTGACATAGTGCATTCCATAGCCCCTTGCCTAACCTGAACCATCACAACTACATGCCTAACTCTTACCTTAACGCTAACCTTAACAGAATTCTAACTTGAACCCTAAAACCCTCAGAAAGCAGTCCCCACTGTGACACAAGTCTCCATGGGTTATTGTGCATTCAGGTTAAAGTCCCCACCGGGATATAAAAACATGTTTTTATACACAGTTTCTTTCTGATGAGCAGTTGGCACCTTCCATCAGTGTATGAATGCGTGTGAATGGGTTGAATAGAGTGCAAAGTGCTCTGAGTGGTCAAAAGAGTAGAAAGGTGCTATAAAAGTGCAGTCCATTTACCTTTGCAGTCCATTTACAAAACTTAACAGGCTCTTGGCACAGGAATTTTGTCTTGTTAAGTTTCCTTAAGAAGTTCAGCCGTTGCTGAGCTTTCACTATCAGGGAGGAGATGTGTGATGTCAATGACAGGTCCTCTGTGATGCGGATTCCCAGGAACATAAAACTTTTCACCTGCTTTTCCTCAGCTTCACTGGTGTAGACAGGGGTCTGTTTCTTCATTGCCATTCACAATGGAAACAAATAGCGTGAATGCAGAGTGATTGGATGTTTCTATCATTTCCCACCAGTAGATTTGCCATGCAGAGTTGAGGGAAAAGGTCAGGGCACAGAAAGTTGTCAAACTGTATAACAGTAGAAATTCAATGACTTGGATCCTGCACAGAGCTGGCTGCTGTGGCGTGAGCCGCATAAGAGTTATGTAAACTCTGTGATGATATCGCCTCAGCATTGTTTGGATGTAACAGAGTCATTACCATTATCCAGGCAGGAATGACAGTGTAGAGCAAGCTAAGGACGCCTTTGATCTTTCATTTCATTCAATCAAATCCTGCTTTAAAGAGGGAGCAGTCTGACAAACATCTTGGGAAACACTGAGTGCAACAGTGGTTGCTGGTGTCCGGCCTGCTGACATAGCTGAACTCAATGAAGATTGCCAGCAATTTCTTGATTCCAAAAGGCAGTGATCCAATCACAGCAACACCAGCCTCCTTACACTTACTGACTGGGAAATTGGCTGCAGCACAGAAGCTTTTACAGACTCTGGCAGAGGAGTCTGGACCTGGTGAACGCCTGATAAGGCTGATTTGAATGAGCCTGCATTCTCTTTTGTTTTGATAACATGAATTATAAATATCAACTGTGACCCCCACTTGTGATGCGGCCCTAAATTAATAAATGGCAGAGATCAAAACAATGCAGGCAGTCTAGTTTCAGCATGACTCAATGATGCCCTCAAGTGGCCTGAGCCAGCCAGCTGCAGCCAGTACAACAACAATACTACATCAGATACTTTAGTTTTTGCCTTTGTGTTTGTGTAAGTTTGCTCCTATTTAAAATACACATTTGAGGACATTCATTATCAACATCTGTATGGCTTTGCTCTGTGTCAGATGGATGATGGAGGATGGGACGTGTGTGACAGTTGATGACAAGAAGAATCATCAGATATTCCTTAATTTTTTTAAAGTGGAGCAGCATGAAAGACCAACCGTCATTTTAGCATAGAGAATATCCAAGAGCTGAAAAGAGCATGACTATAAAGCAGTCCGTGGTGTGTGACTTCCTGTTTCACTAATAAAATGCAGTCCATTTTGCAGTGACCTGAAATTCTGCAAAAACACACACACACATCCTTTGTAATTGGACTTCCAAAGGGGGCACTTCATTATATGTCTCAGATCTACATTGCATTCCTGCTGTACACAAATGGCCCCTATTACCCACTAGGCAACGTGCATGCCTTTGTGTCTTTGACAACATCAAAATAATTGCATTCATTACTCTGTGGAAAATTTACTCTTGCTGCGCAGCAGTTAGTCCGGGCTCATTCATTAGAACATTCACACATGGTGACACAGGCGGAACAGTTTGCTACATGTATTTTTTAGCCATGGCTGGTTCATGTAAGAGAGGCAGTAGTCTCTAATTTGTGGCCAGCGAGACTCTGGAGAACACAGTGAATGGTGGATGACATACGTTTACTGCATATTGGTTGCTTGCTGTCTCGTCTGGTTAATTAACAGGAGTTACAAACACTTTGACCAAGAACAAACTCACTGTCAGTTAGTCCTTGTGTAGAAATGCTGAAATTCGTACAACTGCCATTTGTCAACAGCCTCACCCTCCATGCCTCAATCTAATGAATGTAATTATACAATATTAGCACTGAATGAAAACTTTAACAAAGACATTTCATGCTTGTAAATAAAACTGTGATGCCAATGATAATTCATACAATAATGAAAACAGTATACAGTATAGCCTGCCCACTAATAACAAGCCTTTTGAAGGCATTAGCTTTCACCTTAATGAGAGTATTTTGTTTATTCAATGTCTACCTTCTGTACACAGATATTTGACATTTGTGCACAGAAACAGCAGAGTACTTAAGTCCCTCCAGCTCTGAAATTACATGTACTAAAAATAAAAGCACTGAGAAGGCGAGTGGCTCTCTGCTGTCCTTTCAGTCTGACTTTCTTATGTTTTACACTGGAAGCTTGTTTGTCAAAGAATCCACTTTATAAATGTTAATTGCATTGCTGCAGAAACAAATACTTCTGGGATTTAACGTAATAATGGATTAACGAGGATATTGAGGAGGGAAACACTAGTAATTATAAAGTTCATTTATTTAGAATTACACAGAATACAGTTTTTAATTCACAGAAAGACAACACCCATTTTATTTGCCGATAAAGTAAATAACAATAGAAGGATGTAAAAAAGAAAGCGAGTACAACATATACAATATTCTATTCCTTACCTCTTATTAAGTTCATGAACAGAAAATGACTGACCCTGGAATCTGTACACTGAAAATGTATTTCTGTCGCTTGAAATACATACTGTATACTCTCACAACTCCTGTTTCTCATAAACGCACCATCTAACATGTAACCAAATCATGATGACACATATTTTTCTTGCTATATTGGCAAAGCTATGCTTTGGGTTCTTGCGCCATAATTACAACAGGCACTTTCACTTGCCTGCTCTCCATTGACTACTAGCCATCACTGGCTTCGTAACATAAAATACATGGGACCAAACTATGAGTCAGATAGAGTGTATGTGGACACTGCACAGATGCTGAAATTGGAGAACTTTCATTCCAGTGACATTTCTACTCAGAACAATTTGCTCTGTAATTCTGAAAGAGTTTTTTTTTATGGTCCTGACTGCAGAAACCCTTGATTGGTGTCCACAGCCTTTGTGGGTACAGTACTACAGTACTCTTGAAAATCTACTGTAGAGAGTGCCCCAACCCCCCCCCCCCCCCCCCCCATTGTTATCACATTGATTCAGTCCATAGGAGGCCTAGTAATGACTAAATGGTGCAGTCTCCTTCAACTCATGGTACCCCTGGTGGTTTGGCTCTGTGAAGAGATAGAGAGGGCAGTTAGGGCTAGGAAGTACCACAAATCTATCTCTTCTACATTAGCCAGTGCTTCTAAAAGACTCTTTTAGAAATATAGGCATTTCAGTTTGGTTTCAAAAAGAAAGAACAAGAATAACACAGTTACAGACTGCAAAAAAATACTGAACAATGTGTCTCAAGCTGCTTCCTCAGGTGTACCAGGGTATGACCTTATTCTGTATTCAGTGTTTGTTCAGTGAGAACTGCTTGTGCTACCTTATATTTAAAGCACTTGCTATTCATTTTCAGAGCCTGTATCTTTAGTCTGGAGGTCACTAAATAATTTTCTGTACATCCCAAATGATGTAGACAAAAATAGCCACTAGCAAAATACGTTTGAGTGTGTAGATAAGTGTTACGGTACCAAGACTCATATTCTGCTCCACCAGAGGCCTCTTCTCGCTGCAGTTTACCACTCTTCCCTGTGCCGCTCCCAGAATAGTCATGATATCCACTAGGTTGAGCTTCCCTTCCTCCTTGGCCTCCTCCACCTCTTCTGCCAGTTCCATTGCAGCCTCTTCACGCTCTTCAATCTCCTCTTGGGTCAGCATTGCGTTCAATCCTTGCCCTGCAGTGGCGTTGCCCACCTGTGGTGGCGCAAGCGAGCAAACCGCCCTTACCTGCCCGTAAGATTTCAGGTGTGCTACGTTGGCACGCAAAAAAAGCAGGAGGACGTTGAGGTCATTCAACGGGCAGCCTAGCCGACGGTGGTTGATGAGATCCAGGGCTGGGAGGACCTCATAGACAGAGATGAAGGTGGTGTCCCAAACGAAGAGCCGGATCAGACTAAAGAGGACAATGGGAGCCAGCAGGACGTAGATGGCACCGTTAGCCACGCTTATCACCTGAAAAACCAACTGGCCAATCATTTTACACTGAACCAGTTCAGGAACCCAATTCTGATCACGCAGCATGCCCGTGCGGACAAAGCAGCTGAACTCGTCCTGCAGGAAGGCAGAGAGGTGGAAGTAGGCCAGGTAGAGACAGGCTGCAGTCATGAAGGTCAGGAGCAGGAAGCCCCGCAAGAAAAGCATGCTAACAAGGAAGTAGGAGTTTTGTTTGCACTGCATGTATCTCTCCAGTAGAGGGTACTCAAAGTATCGCTTCTTCTTGGCCCTGCAATTAGACAAAGAGAAGACACTCAGCACCATCTTCTCTTTCATGCTCATAAAGCTGCACAGAGCTGAGACCCAACCACAGTCTTCTACTTTTGGCTAGTAGGAGCTGCCCACCACAACACCCACTACAGTCCTCCTCTTCTGTGTCCTCCTGTTGGAGGTTAACAGCCTTGTACAAGGGTAAATCAAGATTAGTTGCGGAGGGAGACGAAAGCATTTCTCATCACTTTCCAAAACCACAGTTTCCCAGTTTATCAAGAGATTCAAACTGACAGTTCAATTCTGTAACCTACGAGCAATATCTCTCACTGGCAGATCATCTTTAATGGTTCTGCAATGACCCGATTTCTCTACGGGAATTATTAAAATTTAATTTAACAAGGCATATTCTAGTTTGGGGCAATCATACGAGCTTGTTCCTGAAAACATAAACATGGATATGGAAACATTTTATTTGAAACAAACATAAGGAGCAATGGATATTCACGCTACAAGCCAAGAATCACTGGTCTCTTACCGTTGCAGTTCAGCCTGAAATGTGAGGGGGTTCTTAGTGTTCTGGCGCATATCCAGAATATTTTGGGCCAGTCGGATCGAGCGGTTGTACGACTTGTCCAGTTCGTCAATTATGAAGAGCAGGTCTGAGCTCAGCGTGGGCATGACGAGCTGGCGCCAGATCAGAGCCGGCAGGTACATCAACACCGCCATGGCCAGAAGAGAGTAAGGGAACATCTGCATGGATAATGAAAGAAAAGGGCGACAGAGAGGAGAGGCAGGTAGAAAGAAAGAAAAGTGACAGGAAAGAGTTGAAAGAAGCAGATGAGTCACAACGATCGCTTCACAACCCAGAATTATAAATGAACAGCTATCCTCCTGATTCAGAACTACTTTCCTGTTTGTGGCTGGGACTTGAATGTCAACTGCACTGGGCCCAAATACTTTGTAGATGGGTTTAGCAATAAAACTGGTTCTGTCTATTATTATAGGGAATGTGCTGACATTTTCAACTCAAGTTTTGTAAGTTACAGTAAAGATAAAAAAAAGTTTTCAGTAGTATGACAATTGTCAACCACTCTAAGTGGGAAGTCAAGCAAGAATATCTCTACTTACTTTGTGTACCCAGAGCGAGCGCTCCTCAAAGTTCCCATCGCTGTCAAACTCATGATGCATGAGAGAGTCCCAACAGTATGTGTCCACATAGCTGGCCTGCTTTATGCTGAAATTGTTGGGAGGGAAACAGCTGATCTGGGGCCCTGCAGAATAAACAAATGTTGATCTGTAACATTACATGGGGATTACTTTCTGCAGCCTCTTTCGATCCTCCTTTATCAATTTGCCTGTAAGCGATCCCTGAGCACTTGATATATCTCTCATACACGCACGCACACACGCACGCACACACGCACGCATGCACGCACACACACACACACACACACACACACACACACACACACACACACACACACACACACACACACACACACACACACACACACACACACACACACACAGTACTGGTGGTCCACTACTAGACACGTACATGTGTGCTTCTACATGCCCTTTTCTTTTCAGTGGTACAGGATTTCACTGGAGAAATCATATGTTTCCAAATGGCAACCTGGCATTTAAAAAAGCCTGGACGACTCTATTCCAAAATTGGGCTCCTCCACCTTATATTTAGTTCACCTTTATATAACAACATATAGTCCAACCACTCTCCGCACCCATCTGTCATTTCCCAAGGGTGCTCCACCCTTAAACAGAGAGCTTGGGAGGGAACAAACCATGGGTGTGCCCCACCTAATTCAGGGCCTTAAAACAGAAACATGGAGCTTCTAATTTTACAAACAACCTCCCCATCTGCTAAGCTTTCTGAAAGTAGAAACATACTGCCACCAACTTACTGTCAGGATGTGATTCCTCCTCCTAGTCCACCTCATTATAGGCAACTATGGTCCAGTTATACTACAGGCACGTATATGTGTGTCTAATTAATCAGCCACCTAAAGTATAATTATGGCAGCTGAGTTTACGGTGGAGTATATTCATTTTAAAAGTGACCTTGTATAGATATATACAGAAAGAACATGTTACAGCTTGTATTTTTAGACTGACACTGAACTCAAACTAAACATGTAGGCAGTGTTGGGGAGTAACTAGTTACATGTAATTTAGTTATGTAATTTAATTACAAAATATATGTAACTGTAAATTATAGTTATTAGGAAATGTTCATGATTACATTGGGAGTTACATCTGAAATGTCTCTGGAAAAAGCTTGGCTACATGTTGAATAATATTCATTTTGTTGCTTTATATGTTTTTCATCTGCACGTCCTCCTTTGCCATTTCCAGCCACAGTTGTTTGATACTATTCTGATGCTTTTGATTGGTTCTCATGTTTGAATTTGCAGCGCCACCCGTCTGCAAGTTAGACTGCCTCTCAAGCTGTCTTTTTAAAATGGTTAACAGTGAAAACATTAACTTCGAAACTGAGAAAAGTAATCAAAAAGTAATTAAATATTACAAGTTATATTACTTTGTAATTGAAATAGTTACACTACTATTACATTTTAAAATATAGCATAACTTCTAATTGGTAACCTATTACATTTAGAAAGTAACCTTCCTAACCCTGCATGTAGGTGAAAACTGATTGATACTAGCCACACCATTGTTCAATGTCACCTACTCTATGAGATAGAAATCTAATAAATGTATGTGATGCATTATTTTTAAAATACATAAATATTCAGAACACTTTCAAAATAGTGCACTCTACATTTATAATACATTAGGGCCAATATAAAATGACATACATTGAAACCCTTGTTGTGACTTGGTTGGTGGGTTCATCATCATCCATTATTGGCAGCCACATAATGAAACAGTGTTACAGAATATCATTTCTAAACAGGTTTTGTATAGCTGTCTATCATGTTCCCTGTCCCCAAAGTTGTCACTTCACAAACCCCTGAAGGCATCATGGTGGAGCAATTCACATAATCTGCTTCCAGTTGTGCAAACAGATCAGTGAAATAAACTGATTATGTGATTACTACCTATTTGAACGCGATGAGAACATAATTTTACTAAACGGCCTTATGCTATTAGGGCTTCCAAAGAGTTAAATCGTGATTTGAACACCGTAATGATGGGAGCTACATTGATACTTGCTTAGGTTTAACTTAAGGTGTGTTCTGTAGTTATAATACAAACTGACCATACCACCCTATGTTCCCATGCTGCTTAATGTGGGAATTTATTTTTCCACTTTACTTGTGAGTGCATGTGTGGTCAATGTGTTGCCAAGTCACCCTAAACAAACAAACAAAAAAAATGACAGCACATGCCTTCTCATGAAAGCTTGCAAAATATTCCTCCCCTTACCCCACACCCCTGTGAGCCATTTGGCAAAGTGAGGGAACCTAAGTTTCTGCCACTGCTCCTATTTTCTACTCCCACTACCCAATTAACATTGGCAGATCATCTCCACATTTGTGCTTTGTACAAGAATTCTTGGCTGAGAGTCCAGGTGCAAGTAAACCAGACTCCAGACAGCAGCGCAATCAAGCACTGTTGTGAAACTGACAACCCAGCAGATAGGCAGCCAAGATCCATCAGTTGAGCCGCGTATCCCGGCACCACATCATGTTCTACACCCCCCCTTCTGGTTAATCAACATATCCTCTCATTTGACTCAAATAGGGGGGAGCTGCCATAGAAGAACTTCGCCTTGTAATTACAGCATGCCAGCGTTAGTGAACGCTGCTCTCAATCATCCCCCATGGCAATTACCATCAGGAGCACCAGGCTGATTGCAGACCAGCTCTGGAGAGACAACGTTTAGTTCAAAGTCAAGGGAGTCAGCCTCCTCAGCAACAGACTTGTACTGTAGACTTGCCACGTAGACTGCGGATTTTTAGCTGTGTTTTTCTATTCTTTGAATGACCATGTACAGACAGGCTGCCGACCAGATTTTATTCATAACATGTTTTCCAGTCAATAAACTAATGAATGGACTTGGAGCCGATTGTGATTTTGTGTTTGCAGTAATTTCAGGTGTTGTTTAAGTGTTTTCTCCCTCTTGCTTCACACAGCACCCTAATTTTGTTAAGGGAAGTGCCGTGTAATTACAGTTCTCATCGTTACTGCATTTAATATTTAGTTTCCTCAAGTAGAAATTGTAAGGGATGAGGAGATGTGCAGAGATAAAAGGTAGATGGGAAAGAGAACAGATATCCTCACTCTGAAAAGAAACACAGTTAAGTCACTTCTTTGATACATGAACATTTAGAATTTTGACTAGATTAAACACCACGGGCCACAAGAATAATGACTATCTTTATATTAGTATGTATGATATTCCTCCGTATCACAAGTTCAACTAAATGCATTTTAGCGAGTAAATGAGTAAAAACAGAAATTCAAGGACAAACAGTACATGTGCAGTTGAAGACCACAAAGCCACTGAATAAAAATAAGCACTCGTGAATAAAGGGTATAATTAGGGGCAATGGCAAGTGGAATACAAAACAAATGTCCTAGTTCCATAGTTCCATGTTCCATAGTTTTGAAAAGGGGTCGGAAATTAGCTGCTCACCCAGGGAGATCTCACGGGCGAAGGCCATGCACACCAGCATGAGGGGAAGGCCGACAGACACATACTTGATGACCTTGTCCAGAGGAAGCTCCAGCTCCAGGTGGTTGATCCGGTTTATCCCGGAGTTGTCCTGCAGCAGGGCATCAGATAGCATGGCCTTGGCCGCCGCCTGGGCGATGGACATTTTGAACACCTACCCAGTGATAAGAAATAGTCTTTTTTTTTTTTTTTGACGTAGTCAAGTAGGAAAGGAAGTGCTGTAAGTACAAATCAGACTCATGACCTTTGTCTCACGTCACTACTTGCCCTGTTCTCTCTTATCTTCTCTGTCATTCTTCACTGCATATAATACATCAGAAATGCCTATTTATCAACAGTGGATTGCTTTTCCAATTAGGAGAAATTAGAAATGCAATTATTACAATTCCTAGGAAATGTCTTCAATGTAAAATCAAAGCTATAACTTACCTTAAGTCTTCCAGCTTTCTTTGGTAATACTGTTGGAAAATTTGTTAGCAGAGCCGAGCTTCTCAAGGCCTGCACGGTGTTGGAAAGCTCCTTAAGTATTCAGGGAGGGCCTCTGTAAATGGGAGGTTGGAACTGGGCCGGACCAGGCCGAGCCGGGTCTGGCTCTAATTACAGAGAGGACATCTGAGAGCATGTAGGCGCCCAGATGGCACTGACTGCAGCAGACCTCCTGTACCCAGTACTGGGCCATGCAATTGTGTGTGTGTGTTTCTCTGGTCTGTCCACACTGTGAGGCACAGTGGTTGTGGCCCACTTCAAACGAGTGAACCATCGCCAGTGGCTTTTTCAGCCTCTGTCATTCTGAGACTATTTTTACTTACTGCACTTCAGGCTCAGAGCATCTGCTAGCTAAAATACTGTACCATAAAACAGGGATAGTCCGGTGTCAGAGCTTTGCAGCACATATGTTCAAGGGAAAAACCAACTCTGTGTAAAAATTCTATTTATTAAGTGGATTAGACATAGAGGACATCTATGGATGGGAAGATTGTGGGGTTCCTGAATCTGAAAACATGAAACACAAATGAAACTAAAAACAATGCCACTTTATGGGATCTGTGTTATATTTATCTGTATTATATTTTGGGCTATAAATCAAGGAGAGGCATTGGATTGAGACAGAGAAGTGGAGATCAGCAATACAGATGGTGTGTTGAATTGGGTCTCTACAAACAAAACTGTTTTCACCAGAAAACAGCATTAGTAATTTATTGAAAAGGTTCACATTATTTCAAATCTTTTTGAAAACAGTAGTCATGGATTCATATGTACATTAAAACAGTTCTTGATTGCTGTCCAAACTGGCTGGTGATTCCTTTTTAACTTGACCAAAATATAATGGATGGGGGACAAAATCCACAATCATAGTTGTTCAGTGTGTGTCTGACAAATCAGGTGCAGCGGCAGAAACAAGATGTAAACACAACATTTACATATTATCCCCTTTTAAATTATGATTACTAATGTGTTTCCATCTGACGCAGCAACATTAGCATTCATTTGGAGTTGTGTTTAGGTCCTCCAAAAGAATATAAGTCCAATATACACTCTCTTTTAGCTCTGTTTTTGCTTTCCACCAACTCCTGACAGAAATGCTCCACAATGTTCAGAAGTATCTCTGTCTGTCTGCTGTTTGGACATGAGACAGTGACTCAAAAAAAGTAACGTTGCATTAGGTAAAATCAAAACAATGAGCTGAAAGATGCTAAAATGCTCGCTAAAGCTGAGTGTCTGCCGAGTCAGGTGGTGATTCTGTTTGCCACATACTCCTTTCAAGTAGTAATTCCATCCCTTGTTAATAAAAAAAGTATTGATTACTGCAGTGTTAAGGGTACAATGTGACCCCCCTGACCTGCTGTACTGAAAGTCCTGTGTGAAATAACTATAGAAGAAATGTGTGATACCCA